GGGGGGGGGGGCAATCTGAATAAGTAAAGAATATCACAAGAAAGGAGGAAACGAGTGCAGGAAAACAAGGACCGGAGATGTCTGTGATAACTTCTATAGATCTGTGACGACACGTTCTTCAAACTATGACAGCCTTCCAACTGCCTTCTAGAAGTTGATATCACCTCCCAGCCAACAATCAACCAGCCAGCATCGTCCCGTCTGATCTATTCCATATTACACTCCAAATTCATACACAGTTCTCATAATTTTACATGCATGGTACAATGTAAAATTCTGATGTTTTGAAAATATGTTGTTCACCTCGTAACGAGCGTTTACTTGCAGTAGAATAAAGTTTCGCTAGCTGGCGTATTCAAATGATTGTTTCCGCGCGGAGCAATGTATTGAATCGGTACGAACATTCTGTCTCGAGATAGAAATAAGGCGACTAAAAACATCTACAACCCAAGTAATTACAAGGCATTCAATTATTATGTCAATTCACTACAAGATTAATGCCATACCTTGTAATGTCGCGGAAAGACATTAAAAAGATTAGCCGTTTCCCTAGAGTATATCTCCATGGTCTGTTGAGTAGTTATGTTACATACCCAGGGGCAATGTTGAGGTCTAATCATCAGCCTGAGTACGGAGACTTATGCCCTCTAGGTTATAATATACATACCATGTCTTTATGCCAGGGTCCATCTCTGAAACTTGTAGATATATACTAGTACTAAAAGCGTGCATAGAAAACTTCGCGTGCCAATGGCCCCCACTGGGGCACGAAGTCTTTTGCGAAACTTTGGGCATTACAAAACACATCAATACGCACTTCTGGTGAATCATGTAATGGGCGGCCATTCCGCCTGCCGCCTGAGGAATAGCTCTTATGGCCTGCTTCCCAGGCGGCATGTTCGTATTGAAAAAGGAAAGTCACACAAAACAATGTGACAAAACAAGTGCATACTGAGCGGTCTCCACGCCCGAAGAAGTGCAAGATATCGTATTGATTGTTTATGGTACAGGAGATACGGGTAAACGAGGGTGGAGCATGTCTTTCTTTCACGGCGCAGCACTGCGACCAGGACTTATGACTTACGTGCCGGGTAGAACCATCAAGAGATTACCTGTGCACGCGGCATACAGAGCTCACGTCTTACCTTAGGTCACATTTCTACTCAACTTTAGTACTCTGTTGTGAGAAAAGGACGTAACGGCCATATAAATGTGTACTTTGTATGCTTCTGGTGATAATACGGTATCCTGCGTTCCCGTGACGTCACAATGACGCTTGAAACAGTAAACTATCATTCTCGTGCGTCAGATATGTCATGAAGGTGAAAACAGGGTAAAAAAAAGCCACGACTCCACTTTTCCGGAAGCTTCTGACTCTGATATCGTTCGAGAGAGCAAGAATTTTCGACCAGCACACGTACACAGATCACTCTATACACTCTAACAGACAGACATGTTGGATTACAATCTGGTACTGCGGAGTGTATATTTGCATACCTCAACACTAAGTACATGACTCCGTCCACCAGATGTCGATCGGCCCCAGGCCAAATTAAAACTCATAACTCATTCTTACGTGGAGTAAAGAAGGCAGATGTCGTCTTATACAAGATCACACGACTGACTCTCAGACTTTTATTGCGGTAAACTTTTTATCACAGAATTAACGGTGTTGTATGTAAGAAAATATCAAGCCTTGCAAAATGAGACATGAACGTAGAACCAAGTCTACCACAATCTGGAACTGTTATTCTTTTTTATCTCTTTAGTTGTGCATCGTGTTTGTCACGTTATCTTGCACGTAATGCATTACTTGAACAAACGCGCCAATACAGCTGTTTGTGTGTACATAACATGTACTCCACACGCGCTAGGACGTATAGAATGGACTTTATTCCTCATGCAAGCTATATGTGACTCTAGCTTGTCGGTAAGTGTTCACTATACAACAGAAAGGAAGGGCAGAAAAAACACTGGCGAGAATTCCATCATTGCGCAGGCTGTCGCCCACTTATTACCTCATTCCTGCAGTATTTGCACGCCGCCACTTCATTTGCTCACCATCAGATTGTTTGCAGTGGACCATAGAGATGGTACACGGCCTTTGTTCCCCGGCCAAACATGTACACAATACTTAACAAGCAGCGAGGCCGTGATGGATGTTGTGGGTGGGGGTTCCGGACTGGGGTCTCTTGCACTTTGTTCACCCCATTAAAAGTACATTTCTGCCAGAAGTAAATATCCTTTAGTTTTTCTAGCTGTTGAGATCTTGATATTGAGAATTTCATGAAAGGGAAGCACATGAAAGGGTCAATTTGTGGTGGGATGGTTTAGTTCAGTGAACTTTTGTTCCGTCCGTTGTCACGTGACTGACTCTAACAGGTTGTCATTCTGTCGTTCCCGTTCCAGGATGAAGTATTGACATGACGGCCGGGTAAGATGGCGTTCCCGACGATCCCGCCGCCTGGCCCGGACTACACGACTCTGCTGTACGGGACAGAGGTCGTCCCTGTGGTGTATGACGCCGTGAACGGGACGCCGGTGTGGTCTACTTCCGGAACTTTTAACATATCTTGTGGCAACGAGAGCACCACCCTACCGGCGGAATGTAACGTGACCACGGCGCCGCCCTTAGACCCCCTGGGAGGGCACCAGGTCTGGGAGGTGGTGCTGATATGCCTGCTCACCTGTTCTCTCAGTATCATGACTGTCGGAGGAAACATTCTGGTCTTCGTGTCCTTCCGAGTCAACCGACAACTTCACACCGTCAATAACTACTTCCTCCTGAGTCTGGCGGTGGCCGACACCCTGATCGGACTCTTGTCCATGAACTTGTACACCGTGTATATGGTGATGGGCAGGTGGGCCTTAGGACCGGCCATCTGTGACCTGTACTTGACCGTGGACTATGTCTCCTCCAACGCCTCCGTCATGAACTTATGTGTGATCAGTTTTGACCGCTACTTCTCCATCACCCGTCCGCTGACATACCGCGCCAAGCGAACCCCCAAGCGGGCCGCCTGGCTGATCGCCTTGGCCTGGGTGACGTCCGTGCTGGTGTGGGCACCGCTCATCGTGGGCTGGCAGTACATCGTGGGCGGGAGGAACGTACCAGAGAACGAATGCTACATCCAGTTTATAGAGGACAGTGTTTACGTCAACTATTTAACCATAGCAGTGGCCTTTTACATCCCGGTCATTATCATGTGTACCCTGTACTACAGGATCTACAGAGAGACTCAGGAGAGACAGAAAAACCTGTTAGAACTACAGGGAAATACAAGTACCAGAACATCGACACGATTCCGAAACACATCAACTATGTCCACTACATCATTCCTGACAAACTCTACAATCAAATCTACCTTGTCTACATCTACTATCAAGTCTACTACAAGTGTCGGCTCTAGTATATCCAGAGAGCCTATTGCACTGAGCAGTATAGAGGAAGGATCGACGAGTAGCAGTCCTCCCAGAAGTAAGCGTTTCTCGTTACTTTGTAAATGTTGTGCTGGAAAGTCTAGCGAAGACAATGACTCGACAAGAGATAACAGTAACTTCAGCACGCCGACTGACCACGCGAAGGTTCTGATGAGTGCTGGATGTAGTTCATTTGTAGACAAGACGGCAGGACCGGCCATGGAGATGAGACATATGTCTCTGTCCGTCCCCAACGGGAAGGCGCATCGCCTGACCCCGCCCAAGACTGAACACCCAGCCTCCAGGTACCGCATCGTCATCAAGCTGCCGGACGAATCGTCCACAGACCCCGACGACCAGAAGCCGACAATAACAATGACTCCCGACTCAGACGATTCGGACGACAATTTAGAACTGAAGGACATGACACCATCCCCGCGTCCCAGCCCTGAACAGCCCGCCAAACCCCTGCCGTCTGCTGCAGCACTGGCAGCGTCAAGACCAAAGCTGAGCGCAGCACAGTTGTGGAAAAGAGCTGCCGAGAACACTACACGCACCAAATTAAAAAGTGATCGTGCCAGAAAAATCTCGATGGTTCTGAAGGAAAAGAAGGCGGCAAAAATGCTGAGTGCCATCCTCTTAGCGTTTATAATTACCTGGTTACCATACAGTGTAACGGTACTGTTCAAGCCCTTCTATAAAGTGCCGACGACCGTCTGGAATGTGGGGTACTGGCTGTGTTACGTTAACAGCACCATCAACCCGTGGTGTTACGCACTTTGTAACAGAACGTTCAGAAAAACGTTTAAGGACATCCTGGTGTGCCGAGTGAAGAAGCAGAACTTCAGACAACTACAAAGCAAAAGACTGTACTAATATGTGGGTAAGACAGTTCATTATAATAACACTCACATAACCAAAAGGATGTCAATGGTTAACTTCACTGAAGTACACAGATAAAGAAAGATTGAATCAGCTGAAGGATGAACAAAGTTTCAGATATTGTCTGCACGTTTCAGCTATTGTTAGCCAGTGTGTATGTTAAGACTGTCTGTATACCTCTCCATGTGACCCATGTATCTGCGCCACATCGGCGTCCTTCAACAAACATTTAGAGAGTGGTGTTTGTATTTATGGTGTTGTGGGGCAGTGTCCCAGCGTCAAAGCTGGCTAAATGTGGCACTGACGTAAAATATTCATGTTAAACCAATGAAACGTTTACAGTCTCTACATATTCCGCCTCTCTGCTGGTCCTTGAGTGGGCGACCAGGTAAATAGGCACCGGACAGGTGGCCGCCATGTTGGGGAGAACAAATAGTGTCCAGAAGTGTCAAGTCACCACAACAATACGTCACTGATAAATGCTGACAGAAATTCAGGCATTCCACAAAGTTATCTCATATAGCAACCACTCACTAGCCGGTTGTCTGTCAGAGCTTTCAACGACAATATAGCACGCTGATGTCAAATTACCGATGACCTTTGTGATAAGTTAGACTATGGACCGTAAGTCCGAGTGGTGCCCCGTGTTTGTATCCGTAATAGGCTAAAGTTGATCCAGGATTCCGATTCAAGTGGAAGCACTTTTATCAATAGTGCTGTCTTGTTCTTGTACTGCTGTTGTACTAGGCCGATAAAACAGGTCTATGAACGCCGTGACGTGCCGTTTCTGTCAGAATAGCACAAATATAGCACACTTAGCAACAGTGTCTGGTGTAACGTGCTGTTTCTATTACACTTGTTGCAAAGGTAAAGGAGGAAGTTAGATAGATTGAAAAAATTAAGTCTAGCATGTGTAAGACTGGAGCTCATTACATGTACAGTTGTAACGACCAAGGAGACAACTCTCCTTTGATGAACAAACCCTCCTTATGTACATATACTAGATAGAGACACAACGGGCCAGTTATCAGCCTCTTGCCCTTTGTGAACTAACGTGACTATTATATTTAGTAATTGAGATAGCCTGATTATTTGGATGGGAACGAGTTTTTAAACTGCGTACTTTAGAACGTTAATGTATTTGTATGTTATATATTTGTACAGTACATGGAGATAAGTGACTAGATAACCATGAAAGCCTTAAACGCACGAACATATTTGCCCCAGGAAAGTGTGTTGTATATAATAGAAAGTTACTATACCTGTTATATTTTAGAAAAGACGGAAGATGAGTAGTGGAGAACTTTGACAGACAAGTTTCCTGTACATAAACTAAGACAACGTCTACCGTCATTAGATGTACATGTAACCTTTACGGAAAAACTGTTACGTTGCAGCTATTGGGTTCATGTTTCACGCTAGTGCGTGTTTGGAGCTGTTCTGTTTCTACCTGAATGTTCAGCATAGTGATGACGCTATGCCGTTATCTACAGTGACGACGGGGACCACCCAAAACTAATCGTGACCTTTTAACCTTTGTTACCAACGGTGCATGTACAGAGCACGCTTTGGGCGTTCTCTCATGGAGAACAAACTTGTTTGCTCAATGTCACACATGCTTTTAGGACGTCACTGATGCCGTTTCAAGTACAGACAGACATTGTTGTGAGGCGGTTTGTATACATGAGTATAGTAGCTCGGCACTGATCCTCTCATATCGGGAACAAAGGCGGGGTAGGCAAGAATACAAAGTCCACGTCATTTGTCATTGTGTGGCTGGTGCAGCTTTAATACAACAGACTAAATCATAAACAACTAAATCAAACACTCTTAACACTAGATGTTCACTTTGAAGCAGGCTCGTAAAAATGAAGCCTGTAATACTACAGTAGCACAAGTTTCCTCATCTTCACATTTCAATTAACATCCAATTAACTGTTGTTTTAAGATTTACTGGCAAACTCTGTAGACGATAAAGTACAATTAATACTTTTCATCTGTTTTGTTTGGACGTGACATTTTTCCGTCGGTAGCACACAATTTTGAATCTGAATATTTCATTGGGAAGATGAATAAACATTTCAGGACTGACCTTCCCTTCTCATGTTTTACGTCACAGATTTGTTGATGACGTACTGACGGAAGTACATGAATGATTGAAAAGCTATAGTAATGTGTACGTGTAACGGCGCATACCAATGACACATTGGAAGAAAGCTGGGGACATCGGTAATTTAGAAGTTTGTAAATTTTGTACTATTTAGCCAGTCAGGATATACAGTGCAGCCCGCAGTGTACCTCTGCAAATAATACTCCCCGAAAACCTTGGTCTAACCATCCTTGCTTCTATACAGTGTTTTAGAAGCGGTGATCCTATAAAGACATCTGTGTCGTACGTTCAAAGTAAACTGTAACACTATAGGTGAATACATGTAGTTCAAGTCCGTAAAAACGTCCTACTATCCACCCTACCCATCCTTTTTCCTATCCTTGTCGATATTTTGGATGCCGACATTGATATGGACTTGTTCGTTAAAAAAGGACAGCCCAGGACAATAAACTAAAGTACTGATAGGTAGCTCACGTTAACTAGTGCATGGAAACGTGCCTTGAAGTGTGCTCATCTGCACTGTGCCCATCATATTGTCATTGGATCCAGCGGCACAGAGTCATACATGTGTGATTTCCCTACAGTCTCAGATATGTCCTACCAGGGACGTTCACTTGTAGAAAGTAATATATCTCCAAGGACTGTAATTTTTTTTATTATTGGACAGCTCGGGCAAATTAAAGAAGTCATTATCTTTTCTTGAGACGACGCAGTGTAATTTGCTTTCAGATAAAATACTAACTTATTGATCTCAGAGGACATGACGCTCAATATCGGCAAATCTTCGAAACAGGATTTCTCATTTTCAGAAAGTGGGTTTATGGACGTCATGTATCTTTTCCTGGGCCCTAAAAGGCGCAAGATTCAGACTGGTGTTTCAACTGCCGGCTCTCACCGCCTGATAAGACGTAACGAGAAATCGATCCATATACACGGCTCTTCTCTAGGGGAAGATCGTAATCTTAAGTAGTGGTAGACTTTGTGGTCTGAAAGGAGCGCCACCAGCCTGTGTTGTACATCACAGTCTGCCCTACTTTTACAACAAAAGGGCTTTACGAAGTAACATCTGGCACCTTTTAAAGTGCTACATACAAATTCCTAACTTGATTTCCTAAAAAGCCACCAACAAAATCGACTTAGGAGATTGGTGAGTGGAGTAACAGACTCGTGTATACACAGGAATTAAATCCATTTGACTGTACTGACGCCACAAAATCCATTTACGTTTCTATTGAGATTTTTAAAAGTCTAGTACGCCATCAAGTGACGATACCTCTTCGCCGCTTCGATGAACAGTGACGTGTATATGGTGATAACTGTCAGCTATAGATTTCGTCTACGTACTTTGACTTTCAGTCAATCGGTACTTCGTGGCTGAAACAATTAAGACGAAAACTAGAACCCAGAAGGCGTGTTGAATGATAACATCCCATGTATGAAGTCTCTGTATTTATGCAACTATCCGCACCATCTCACGCTCAGTGATTGTCGTGGTATGTAGCAACACATTTCCCCCAGCCACATGCATGAGCTGGTCTTGTTTTTCCTGTATGGAGATATTTGGAGATATTAATACTTTCGATCCACTTCTTTCCTCCATTGATTTGGCTCCTTTCATTTACGTAAGTCCTTTCTTCAGTTGACCGCCTGATAGACAACAGGGTGAAGCCTGGAGGGTGAATGTGGGGAACTAGAGAAAATCGATAGAACCAGAACATAGACGTCTAGTGGACAACAGGTTATCACTCCGCCAGCACAGTGGGGATGTGTATGGGGTTTATGAGCAGGATGTTTTACTAAACACCTCCTATAAAACAAGCTTGCAAGTTCAATATCATCGTACGGTTACTTCATACATGTACATACATGAATACAAATACACACAAATATGTACAATACACACACACACACACACACACAGATGCATCCAAACACATACATACCTACTACACACATATATATATAAATGCATGCAGGGTTCAATATCGTGTGTAGAAGACGTGCATGACTAATTGAAACGCTGCAACATTGTGCTTATACACCGACGTAGGGATCTAACGTTATAGTATTAGCATCAGCAGATGTGGATCAGGAAAGATTCCAGGTGGTACAATCTGGAGGCTCACAAAAAAACTTTGCTTTACAAAAAAGAAAATGGTATTTTTTTCACACGCCAGTCATGTTGTACTTAAAACTAGAACCTGTATCTGTACAGATGTTTGTATGTACCGTAAGTCTATTTCTCTATATGGGACAGCACAATGTGTTAGCAAACAAGGCAGGATCCTTCATAAAGACCACAGATGTACATATAGTAGATGTGTATATTCCTAACCTGGTGTGTGGCATAGCTGGCTTTGCTGTACGTATTGAAGGGCTGGAGTGTGGTGTACAGTATGTGATATTCTAGAATTGTTGTAGAAAGTTGAGTACTGGCCTTGACTGATGGTTACGTATATGAATAAATCAATGTTAAACACACCCACTCGTTACTGGTCTTCATATTCATCATCATTTTTGTCTAGGAATTAAAGGATACACAACTTAGATAGATCTATACAAAGTTTCATATCTACAACGACCACTGTTAATGATTAGACATAACAGCAAACAGAATTTCTTTGCCTTCGTTCGTTACAGATTTCAGAGACATTAAGACTGCCGTATTCTGTTCATAAAATGTTGACCTGGGAGAATAGTTCTAAAACTTCATGTTATCACTATTGGATATCAGTAATGTTCCTTTATCTAAAGTTAGGCTGGTGAATGAGAGGAACAGCTGTGCCATTGTAAGACCTTTCCCTACTACATGTAAACAAAAAAAGACCTCACGTGTGTGTCCACGGGGGACATTTCCGTACATCGGACTACTTTACACCGTTTCTGCCATGTCTCAAACAAAAGACCCACGCTTCATACATCTCCCCATAGTGAAACATCCATTCATCATCACAATTTGCAGTAGAGAGAGACAAATATAAATTCCGTTTTTGTGTGTTTTGTGTGTTGATTTGAGGACATCAGTGCCGTCGGAAATTACATCACCACGCAACCGCCGCCACCACTCCTCTTGTGAACCACAGTAGCTGGAACAACAATTAGTGACCATAAGCTGTAATCATCTACTTAAATCACAATACAATAACACATAAAAAGACCCTCAGCTGTAACATTTTTGCAGTGATTACACACGGCCACAATTTGCCCGTTTGATTGAGAATGTCCGTTGTATTAGCCATAACAACGGAAGCTCCAAATCTGTATGCATAACCTACTTAAGTGAGTAGTGACGGGATTTCAAGCATGGCACAACACATGCAATGATATCACGGGAAATGTTCATGACAACTTACGAGGTCTGTTTCTCAGCTCCGAGACTTGGTTTTGCAGCTGCTGCTGCTGGTTTCGAAGGCTCTGCATAGTGCCCTCTAGCGACCGCTTCTCGTTCTCCAGCCTCTCGGTTGTCCTCCGGAACTGCTCCTCCTACAGGGTGTGGAAGAACCATTGAAAAATGCGACCTCAACACATTACAGCATCACATTATTGGACGTACATCTACAACAACACAAGATATGGAGTAGTCTTACACGATATGGAGTAGTAATGATGGAAGGGGTGTTGAAATTTACTATTGTAGGATACCTAACAGGGCACTTCCACGGTCTGTGCTTCATCTTTTATCCCCCAAAAGCCCATTTTCATCAGATACTACACACTATTGTATTAGGTAGATTAACCCTGCGGAATTGTAGTTGTATACCAGGACTTGACATACTCCGTACCTTGTACAATTGTTGTGCAATAACCTTAACTTTATTTCATCTACTTGTAACCACATTGTGACCTGTTGTTTCTTGAAGGCAGACATCCGTGAGGAGTGGTCCCGCTCCAACCTCTCAGTCTGCCGCCGGCTGGCCTCCTGGTGCTCCCGGCTCAGCTGCTGCAGCCGCTGCCGGTTCGCCTCCTCCATGGCCTTGACCTTAGCCAAGTCTTGCTCCTTCTGCTGCTGCATCTGTTGGAGCAGCCGCTCCGTCTCCTCCTGTAGGAGGAATGACAGCGTGTTATCATCTACATCTTGTGTATCTTTGTCGTTCTCTAGCTCAGCTTGTTCTCTAGCTCACTCTTTAACAGTGAAGATGTACAACACAGTGATGATGTTCAGCACTTCAAAACCAATTCAACGATGATCTACTCTGATCTGACATTCCATAGACTAACGTTACATATTAACGGGCATTTCCCTCCTTCTCTCGAACCTCCAGAAGTGTCAAAGTCTTCCAACCTAATTTAAGGTTACTTGATTTTTACTATCAAGTCTGTACCGAGGCCTGGCGAACCCCGTCTTGTATTAAGCTAACGAAAGGGCATGTCACCCTATAACCCCGACCAACATACGGTCGACCGATGATGATGATGATGAAGTCAGGTTAACTTGTTAATCAAAGAGCAACGGTCCAAGAGCATGGACCATAAACATGAACGTTGCTTTATTTTCTGTAAGACGCTGCTGCAGACCTCCTGTTCCCTGATGATGACCCTGTTCTGCTGGTCCCTGACCCTCTCCTCCTCCAGCCGCCTGTCGTAGTCCTTCAGCTGACTCAGGGTGTGCTCCACCCGGTCACGGTGTTCCTGCAGCTCCTGCAGAATCAAGCACAAACATCTCCATCAATTCGATCAATGTAGTTGTGATCGTAGAATGGTTATCAAATTGTTCTAAGACAAAAGAAATTGGGCCGGTTGAATTCGTTTACTAAATCGCTCAGTCCTATTCAGCTTTATGACCCAATCGCTTTTTTTAGTTGGAGAACAGTTAAATCGATGTACAATGTATGTTACCATATGATGAAATTTCATGCTAAAAATGTCTTTGATATGACGCTTGAGGACAACTTCCATTAGTATTGGTTGGCACAGTTTTAAGGATTATCCTTCAGCACCGGTAGCCAAGGCCAGGTTGATAAACAAAAACATAAACATCTAATCCATTCTAATTCAATCTGTGACATTGCAACATAAACACAACACTACTGTGTGGTGTGATCGAGACAAATTATTTAAAGGTTTACCTTCATAAATTCATTGTACACGTCATTGGCTTTAGGTCCTGCCGCCATCTCCCAGTACATTTGGTCAGCCGCTTCCACAGCCCTCATGACGTCACCATATTGTGTGTTTGCACTCAGGCTGTCCAGGACCGGCTGGACGTGTGCTTCCATCAGCAGGTTCTGGTGACGTCATGAGGATCATTGACACATGTGAGGATCATAAAAAAAACAAAGCAAATACGAATATGTTTAAAGTTAACTTTTTTTTTAATCCAACACAAAGAAGTTCTCTCACTTAGAGCTTTCGACTGGTACCAGTCACTCTGGTCTTCCTCAGTAGACTGACCCAGTGAGGCTTAATTGTCACGTGGCTTCTAAAGCAAATACGATTAATTTTGTCTACCAACAGTGAGACTTACCTTCATCTCCCTGCAGTGCTCCTCAGACTTGGCTTCATTCTCACACAAATACTGGTACAGAATACCACCCGAACAACGGCCGCCGTCATCAAAGGACGCACAGCGATCCTATGGAAGAAACGTCGACATTATCTACTAGCATATTTGCAGTATTTGTGCCATACGGATGGTGAATCTAGCTTTGTTGGTGCAACTTCAAGCTGGGTAAAATTGAGAAGTAATCGCCACATTCCGTCACTATCGTAACTTGTGGAACATTATGCTCATAAATTTTCTTGTGAATACTCAGTTGATAAAAGACAGTATTTGCATGGCCTAAGCTGATTGCATCGTTTGAAATGTTGCATGATTGTATCCGTCCCTATCTGAATATTTGATTGATAAACTTTTCGTTGTCCTTACCTAACTCCTTTTTGTACGTGTGGGTGGACATTGACAAACAGCTATAAATGTAAATTGGGTCATTATCAGCTCACGAAATACCAGGCAAAGATCCAGATATGCAAGATTTACAGGCAAGATCTCGCGGATATAGATGATATATGAAAAGGAAAGTCACTAATATTCCAGGCGATAACAAAGAGTTGTTCTCAACTTCTCTTTGGCCGTCTATCTACCTCTACCCTGTGCGCCAGACTCGTCAGGCGGCGGGTGGAGAGTTTACGCGCGGTGATACTGGATACTCTCCGCCCACTGCCTGACGAGTCTGGCCCCCAGGGTAATGTACCTCCAGTTCCTTCATGTTCTCCTGCATGAGCGCGGAGTCACAGTCTAGCTCGGTGTCAACTCGGAACCCGTCCAGTGCCATCTCAAAGTAGAACTGATGATGTCCCAGTAACTCCTGCTCGTCACACGGTAGTCTGCGGGACAGGGCCTTCATCTCATCCTCATAAATCTTCACTGCACCTTCCACTAAACACACAGGTGTACCAAGGCTAAGTTCCCAACTAAAACTGAGGATCTCTTATGTGGCAACTGTAATTCTACATAATGTCAGTTTCAATCATTCACACCTGAAAAAAGATTCTTTTTAAGATTTTATTTTCGAATCAGCACGGTCATTTTCCGTTTCTCTTCAGTAGCCTGTGGACGTGGAACTACTACATGTATTTGGCGATGGCACCAATTCAGGGTTGTGCAATGTTAGTCTTACCAGCCCGCTGGTAGGTCAACTGTAGCGTCTGTGTCCACGAGTCCTCCATGTTGGGTACGGTTCCCGGGGTGTTGATGGCCCGCACGTAACACTGCAACAAGTCGGCAAGTTCTGCAGAGATTGGAGACAAAAGTGATGGATTGGTATGGTGAGGTAAATTGCCTTTCGTTTACCTTTCTTGGACGCATGCCAGCTTTCTGGGCAGGCTTAAGAAACATCTTGTGTTACTTCTAAGGAAGCTGTAGCACGCCGTGTCACGGGTGTTGTTGTACGAAGAGTGCGCAGATATCTTGAGCGTCGCATACGCATGCAGTAACAGATGCGTGCTGATCCTGTCCTTGGTGCTGAAACGCAGGTCAGACCGGAACCACATCTTATGGACTTAATTATAATATCCCCATGCTATTGGTTAACATTTTGTGGCCTCTGTAGTCTACCTTATAATTGCTACACTTACACGACCTACCAATACATCATATATCATCACAAATCGTACAGAAATTCTTACGTTATGCTGCCAAATATGCGGTAGCATAGACAGACACACATAGAGGCACACCTAAATCAAGCAATACCTCCATTTTTGGAGGAAAAAGCAATTACCTATCAACTCCCCATTAGTTGTTTGAAAATTTCCTACTTTGCCTCATATCTTCGATGTACATGACTAGAATTCCAATTCCATTTGAAGGATAAAGCCAAAACAAGTGAAACGTTGCTCACGGTCTCCGTTGATGATGTTTCCCGCGAGGTTTGTCTTGGGAGCGAACTTCCCGACGATCTCCTTCTTGACCCTGGCCATGCCCTGGTGGAAGGCGCTGGTCACATACGAGGCGTAGCGTGGGTCCTCCATGTTCTGGATAACCTTCAGATGGAAATTACATGTTTATTTCTATTATCTAGATTAGGATTTGAAACAACTTTCACAACGATCTTATCTTAATGCCGTTAATTTTTTTATAATTTCTCTTCTCTAATTTATCATTTGCTCTACGCTTTTTTTATTTTTTGTGATGATTGACTTGCTTCCTTAAAGAAATCCACTTCACCTCTGTATCAGCTGAAGGTGGAGGAAGGGCGAAGGCGTCGAAATCGGAGAAAAATGTCAAGATGGACTTTCTGACTCGATTCTGGTCTGCCACGTCGTCATCAAAACTATCGTCTGCTTTCAGCACCTGCGTTATGGGCCAGGGTATGGAACATGATAAAATCAGGCGAAAAGTAAACTTCGAATCAGGAAAAACATTACAAAAAGACAACAACAAGGATACAAACTGCGATGTGGAAAATCACACATTTATCAAATAGAAAGATACTGTCCTATACTTCACAACGTTTCAAGGACACCAAGAACTAACGTCGATGAAGGTTATAATTAGACATGCAGGAAATGGAATACATCCGAAAATAGTTACTCAAGCAACTGGCTGGAATTTGAAACGTAAACAGCCACGGCATAGCTAGCTGATACGAGTAACGTGGCTGTATACTTTCAAATTCCATCCAGGTGCAGTAAATATTTTCTTATCTGTGTCATTTCCTGCATGTCTGTGTGCATGTCATCTGTTTAGAGTCAATGAGAACTAACTTTCTCCAGCAAGTACGTCTTCATGCTGCACCTCTGCCCCTTCCTGTCGGTGATCTCCAGATCCACGTCCCGCAGCAGCCAGAAGAACTGCGGCAGACAGTCGCTCACACGCCGGATCTCCTCCGCAGACGTGCCGCGGCTACTGCGCACCTGGATACTCTTGGACAAGTTTCCGATGTAGCTGGGGAAGAAATGTTGAAAGAAAGTTTACAGCAAATGTGTTTATTGAGTCTTTCGTCAACGTCCTGTTCTAGTTTTAGTTTGTCTGGTGTTCGTGTATTAATTTTTATTATTATCATTAACGTGCTGTTACGGAAAAAGCATATGTTTTCGTCAATTATATCACATTTTACTGTGAGAGTGGAGTCGTTTTCTGAATAATCTGTGGCAATATCAAGAGATACTAGAGTACGTCTATTAGTTTACAGTAAGTACAAATATGTGTTGACTGTGTCTTTCCAGTTTCCTGGTCTATCTAGGGAGGTCATAGGAGTCTATTACTGTAGACTCTGTAGGTCGTGGCTGTGCGGCACGCTCTTGGTGTTGTAGATGAGTAGTGATCCGAGCAGCACGCTGAGAGAGAAGATCTGGTTGTCCGTGTTTTCCTTGGCGTCGTGCGCCTCCATCCCCTCCGTGTCCAGCAGCACCACGGTCACCTGCCGCCCGTCAGCCAGGGTGTGCTGGAACGGCTGAGAACCCATCCAGATTCCTGTCAGACAGACGGACAGACAGGATAGTGAGTTTTTTTTTGGAGTCCTTTGAAACGTTGAGACACACAAAGGGCGCACACAGACAGTGTAACATTCAGCGCTAACCCTTGGTAAAGTAGAACAAACGGTAGTCCCTTAAAAAGTCTGCATAAGGACTCGCTAAACTACTGTTACACAAGTGTCTCAAGGATATTACATACTTAAACTTAGGAGTGCCCGTGTTAACGTTCCACACATGAGGTAGAATGTTCCAGCAAGTTCGGTCGGCAGCCATTCTCTCAACATTCTTATGATTCAGATTTAGTACTTTGACTGTGTCACGGGTGTGGATATGAACTGATGTACATAGCCAAATGGAAACTCCTTGCAAAAACTAAATGAAATTTACACAGCTTCACTTCTACACTTAAACCTCCCTCGGTTCTAAAAAAAAATACAATTTAACATTTATGGTACACATGTATTCATACTTAATAGTCTTTATTTTGAATGTTTAAAAAATGACAAAAGTTGGAACGCGTTTGTCTGACCGAGTGTTTCCCTGTCCATCTTGTTGCCCAGCCGGAAGCGGCCTCCCTGCAGCTGACTCAGCAGGTAGGACTTCCCCGTGCGGCACCGTCCCACAATGCACACCGGGCACACCGGACCCTTGATGGCTCTGAGGATGGACAGGGCCTCCTCACACAGTTTCAGCCCTCCCCGCTCCACACCGAGGATTGCTAGGGGAATACGGTACATAAAAAGTGGCAATGAATAATAGAAACGTGCATATTTCATGATTTACTTCTGTCCACATTCACTCATTCTGTCGCACGCCCACCCTTTACGAATGCTTTACATAATTAACGACAAATTTACGTACCTACAAGTCGGTTGTTTGTGGGGTCCCACTCCAGATTGTCCGGTATACAGAGAGGAACAGACCCGTGTCCAGTGGCGGGAATGTCCATCGGTGTGGGCAGCCCGCTGTCCAGGCTGAGGCCGGACAGGGACAGAGGGCGGTCACCTGGCGGACCACGGCGGGGCGATTTGCGGGGACGAGGTCCGGACGATGGGCCTGCATCCGTCCCCGACACAAGCCTTTCGTGTATACACGTACATGTAACAATCAGATATGACAGTAAAGAAATGTTTATAAGAATAATAAGTGATATGCTGCCCCATGGCACTAACGAAGCAAAAGGAATTCACCATGATTTGGCCTAATTTATCATCCGATGTTTCTTTACTGGTAATAAATATCTTAAAAGTTTCGTCCTATCGCATCACCTTTGGCTGAGGGTTATGCAATACTATAATTATATAACGTTACTTGTTTCTTTGCCTTCCTATTAGTTTATCTATTTTACTTATTTATTTAATTCATGTTAATTCTTTTCACCATCCTTACCCCTCCGGATTCACCCTCTTGAGCTGATGACATAAACTCTTCAGTTTCCGGAACGCTGTCTGTTCTGAATCGTCTGGAAGAAGCTGCAGCGGCTTGGACACCAGAGGAGCTGCGGTAAAGATTAGTCAATGTATACTTCAGTCCATTACGAAATAAGGTTGTGTGGGTCTGGCATTATGATACATCGGTTTAAGAGCGCTATCTTGGAGATACCGTATGTACTGCAAGGAATACCATATTGGGAGATTGAGTCTATAGTAATAACTCTCACAAACCGTAGTACATGCGTCATCTCTTCCACACATTGATGCGCTTATGTCCAGTATTCTGTATTTCCTTCTCTCGATCTTGCACATACTGCATATCTTATAATTGATTGCATAACAAGTAGAGATGTCATGGGAAAGGAGACAACTTGGGTAGCATAGCTGCGATCGACGCCTTTGATACTGTCTTCTGCCACGAAATATTATCTATAAACTATATATATGTCAAAGAGTATACACCGAAAATTGAATAGCGGTTGCGTCTGTACTGTGCCCTGGTCACAAGATGTGAGTAAACAAAACAGTGGGCTAAAGTCCACATCACGACTGGAACACAGAGAAGGACAGGAACAAGACTTGTCCTGTGGTTTGCAGGTATTTTCACCTAATATTAAAAGCCCAGGCTTAGTAAAGATTGATGATTCATTCAGAGTAGACTAGGGTCAGCTCAGTGGATAGAACAATGCCGTCGAGTAAACATGTAGAAACATTGCGATGAACAGGCGAAACGTGTTTTCCTTCCTCATGCATTGCGTCATGTTTTGATCATGTATGGCTGGTTTGATGACTATTGCACTGCCCATTTTTAAAGAAAATTGTAGTGAAGAATTGTGGTGTTCGTACAAAAGTACAACCAGATGTCATTACATTTTCCCTAGTTCAGCTTGACCATGGCGACTGCGGTGTTGGTGTTTCTCCTTGCCCTCGCCCTCCCTACCGTCCCAGCTTGTCCTGACGGGTGCCGCTGCCTTACTAAAGAAACCACCGTACTGTGCTACAACTCCTCCTTCACACCGTCCCCCGGGGCATCCCAGCCAACACTACAACCCTGGAGATCCGGCACACCAAACTCAGCTCTCTGCGGGATGGAGACCTCGCGGGTTTGCCCAACCTTGTGAACTTGACCGCTGACGAAAACGCCATCACCACGATCGATCCCGGGTCGTTTAGCGGGCTCCACAACCTTAAAATGCTTAACATCGCCAACAATAGAGTCGTGAAGCTGCCACCGGGATTATTCAACGGTATACAGAAGTTAACTTCTTTCAATGCAGTAAACAACGAGATTATAAGCATCCGGCCGGCCTATTCACACGTCACCCGTGTCTAGCCACAGTCCACCTCAGCCACAACAACATCTCAGGAGTGGGGGAGAGGCGTTTGCGGGTATGACGAATCTACTGGAACTTGAACTCGATAATAATCACATACACATCATCACTTCCTCGTTTTTCTACGATGCCAAAAGGCTAACGAGGCTGTCTCTCAGCAGTAACAACATCGCGCACATCGGCTCTGGTTCCTTCCAGACTTGCACAAACCTACAGGAACTCGTCCTGGACAACAACATGTTGACAGATATGGCCGGTATCGCGGACAATCTTGGGAACTTACAGAAGTTATCTATAAACAACAACCGCGTCACACGTCTTATGGCAGAAGTTATCCAGGGAACACCGGGGATCCAATTCCTGTACCTGAGCAACAATAGCATAGAATACGTGGATGAAATCGCTTTCCTAGGTATGACTAATTTGAAATACTTGAACCTGGACCTTAATCGTATTCAGAACTTCAGTTTTGCTGGTCTAACGGCGATCGATATACTCAACATCAGTTACAATAGTTTGAGGTCGCTTCCGACGAACATGACTGACGCCTGGCAGCTTCAGGAGTTGATACTGTCGGGTAACCCCATCCAAGCTCTGAAGCCGAACGGGTTTGTGATGCTGGATCACGTGCATGAGATAGACCTGTCCAACATCTCATGTATCAAGTCTGGCTGCCTGGGTCCGCAGTCTCTGTGCGGGAATCTGGTCAACGTGGTCTTAGACAGCAACAACTTCACCCAGTTTCCACGGGGTGTCTTTGACTGCCCATCTCTGACGTTTTTGAGCCTGGGCTACGATAATTTAGACCATCTCAGCTTCCGCTCAGACGATTTTCATCCCCTGACGTATCTGATGAGTTTACAATTCCCGGGGAACAAGATCACCAACACGTCTTCGCTGGCACAGGCTATGCGCGCTATAGAACATCTCGCGTTTTTCGACATCAGGCAAAACCCTATTGTATATCTACCAGAGAACGCTTTCTCCATACCATCAGTGTCACAGGTCTATATGAGCGGCATGAAGCTAAGTGTGTTAGACCCGGGGGCGTTCGGTGGCATCTCCAGTGTCACAGAGCTGCACCTGAGCTTCAACCGACTCCAGTACCTGCCGGGACAAATTTTCGACGGACTGGGAGGTTTTGGTCAAGTCTTCACCGACGGAAACCCTTGGAAATGTGACTGCCAGATGTACGACTTCGCCAAATGGCTACAGCAGACAACCATGCAAATAGACGTCTACTGTCACTCTCCCACGAACTTGAGGGGCAAAAACTTGAAAGAGGTCCCATTGGAAGAGCTTCAGTGCGATTGCATCCACTACCAAGCGCCCTCTATCGATTCTACTGGGAGCGACAACCACACGGAAGTCGGGAGCACCGCAAGTCTGACGTGTAACGTCACCGGTTGTCCCGACTCCGCCATAATCTGGTCGACTCCGCAGGGAGACATTCTGTCCGTGGATTCGGAAATGCCCCGCTTCACGGTCAACGCAAACGGGACACTCGAGATAGAGGATATAACAGAGTCTGATGCAGGGGAGTACCACTGCACAGCAGTGAACTATCTCGGCAAGGACAAGACAACTGTTTCGCTAAAAGTGGGTTAACACTGAAGTTACTGCGCTCAGTTTTCATGTCGAATGTTCTCACTGGCAAATTTTTCTGATGTAATTCACAGTATCAGAGCTATGCATGTTGCCGTAGGGCATCAGTACTTAGTACGTAGTTGGTGACTTAGTAGTAGTTCTCGTTAGGATCAGTTGTGATCTAGACAGCGGCAAATAAGGTGTTGTGCAAATAAAACAACTACGTGTGATCTAATACTCTACTCTAGTGTCTGTAAACATAAACATTTAGCTATATAATTCATAGGTACAATCTGCCGTTCAGGCCATGTTTATTTTGCGCATGGCCATTGAAATACGTTGAAAATGAAAGTGAAAGTACGGTCGTGGCTGACGACATGTATTTAATGGCGACCTTAGATCTAGACTTACTTGTGTCAGGCAGAGCTTCCACGACACGGTGCATCTCCCTCACTATGTCGTTATACATGTCGGTACAACGCGTAGACTGCATCTAGAAAGGGAACATTGATCTGTGAAGTGTCATGTAGGCCGTATATACGTTGATTCATTTTCATTTCATAAACTCGTATAAGAACTCGTATAATTATATGTATCCCTACATCATATCAACAGGAGTATTACAGATAAACTTCCTTTTCCATGCATATTCGGACCTCCCTGACATGCTAAAACTGTGCGGGAGACTGTGTACATGTATGTTAGCCCCGAATATCACCTTTACACTTTGTACCTTGATCATATTCACCATAACAAGGCTCCCACCTATACTATTCTAGTATATGGCAGTGCAGAAACAAGTAAGAACGTCCCTACCTTTTCGTTCGTACTCTGTCGCTTTGTCGGTAGAAACAGAAGAATCTGACGGCGACCCGAAGTTACTGAGCACAGTTTCAGTACTGATGATATAATGGTATTTCCACATATGAGTCACACCACGACGACGTTCATCACAAAGCGCTCGAAATCCTATTGGCTCGGCGCCAGAGTAGCCCAGGCAGTGTTGGTTCAGTTACTATGTAATAGCCACCACCGTAACTCTGATATACCGCGCCAGACACCTGCTGAACTTTTATAGTAGTAGTGATATGGACTTATGAAGAACCTCAACTAAATGTTAAACTTACGAGGGGCTGCTTTCAAGAAAGGGAAGCATACATATGATAAAACTACAACGACCTCCTCTCTTACAGCATACAGTCCCTGTTGGCGGGGGAAAACCCGGAAGGGGCTTCCCGTATTAAAGTTACGTCATGAACGCATGCGTGGAATTACTAATGACGTTTGATTCTTTGTCGCCCAATTATGTTTGTCAATATCAGCAAAGGGGGTTCCCAGGCGAACTTTTAAGTGGTACAAAAAAGGAATTAAAACTTCCCTAAATGTGTGTACAGTATATATGGGCTTTAGTTACCAGGTATGTAAACATTCGTAAGTGCTAACTAGTATCCATCCGTCACTCTTCAACTAGTCATCCTCAGATCTGTTCTTCCCTCAATATGGAGGAGCGCAAATTAAACCCCAGAGAAAACACTCAGACACAAGATGGAAAACATTACAGATATATTCAAGCCAGGAAGGACTGGATAGTCTGGATAGAGTTTACATGAGTAAAATAAACTGAAAAATTTCACTGCAATGATAATGGGACTTTACTCTTTCCAATTAGCTTAATAATTTGAATGCATAGTACATGTATATTGCATTACCATCATTCTCAAGTTATAAAAATATGCTAGTTATTTCTGCTATCCATTCTTCATCAAATAACTATGACTACTAGTATGAGTACATGCAAATGTCCTAACATCACAATTCTTATCAGCAACTTCTTCTCACTTCTTGAGGCAGTTATGGATGTACGCACATATAGAGCTGATGATATATGGTTTGTCAAGTTTCATAAGGAATGTGAATTCTTCTGTTTCATCTAAAAGTCTAAAGCTGGAGAACTTATCATTTATATAGTATAGAGGGAATCCCTCTCATTTCTATATAATGTACAATCAACTACAAAATGGCACTCATCCTCAATTTAAATTTATATAAATCACAAAATTGGCACATCCTTTGCTGTGGAGGAATGCGGTCAAGTCTGCCTTTTTCTATATGGAGTTTGTGTGGACTAACTCACATTCTGGCATATTCTTAGGTAGTGTTTAATGGTGTTGAGTGACACTAATCTAAGAGGATATCTCCCTAATTCTGCCATCACTGCAAGGTGTCAAGATTACGTACATGTAGCTATGCAAGGAAAGCTTAAATTCCATTCAAACTTAACTCATTCTAATCCATCATCAGAAAGCTGCATTACAGTTAATGATTTCTGACTGATGTTTAAGCCAGGTGGTGCCATTTCTTGGCTTGGGTGATGATATTAGTCAGTCTTGTTGTGTGGTCCTGACTGCATCATGTCAAAGGTAATGTTCAGTGAGTTCCCCATCAATGTTAGTGTCTTGTATGGTAGCAGTCTGTAATGAAAAGTAACACACACAGTTATTATCAACAGAGGTCTTTTGCAATATTTCACATACCTATATTTATGTAGACAATGAGTAAATAGAATGTTGCAAAGAGTTATATGAGTGGAGACAGACTTCTGTTTGGAAGCTCAACACTCCACAGTGGATTATTATTCAATAAAGGGCACAAACATTGACTTATTGTCTATACAAGCACTATACTCTTCCAGCTTTAGTGTACTCCCAGAGGAAACAACACTTAATCTGGGTTGTTTAAATAGAGGTAATCACAATCAGCTTATGCCAGGGTATCAAAAGCCTAATTTCGATTACAAGACAAGTGCTGTTGATCCTGTTTTATTTTTTTGTGAAACACAATGTAGCACACTCTGATATAAATATTATTTCCTCACAGTTTTTGCATTGTTTAAAAGATTGGTCAAACTTACTGTTTCGTGAGTGGTACAGATCTCAACTCTGATGGAAGGATTATACGTCTCTTGTTCTTGAGAACGGCGTCGACTGCATCCAAGGCAACTTCTTCAGGTGTCAGAATACGTGTCCCACCAGAAGGACTGGAAGGTGACAAGACATATACTGTATTAAGCTTTGCTTTGTACATCTATTTTTGTTTCCTAGGTGAAACATGATGATTTTTCAATAACGCACGCAAAAGTTTTGACAAAGTTTTTTGACCCCTACTGTTCTTGATAGTGTGTTTGGTTTTATAATTATAATGTGCAAAAAAGTTATCACTACTGGATGATGTACTAAAAGACATGCTGATTGTAATGAGATGAGAAATAGCCATGTAAGGGCCTTCAGATTCAGAAGCTGTTTTCTCTCATTGTTTGAAATTTGATTTGAGAATGATACCCAGTATTCTTTGTCAAGTCAGACTGAAGATTCTTTTTCAGAGAGCCCACACACACAGATTGTTGTACCTTCCAACTTTAGGGTTGGGACAGAATCCTGTGTCGATGAAAAAAGGACACACTGTGGTTGTCTTTATTCCACCCTTCCCCTGCAGTTCCAGCTCTGCCTGCAAGGTGTCCATCAGTCCCACCACAGCATGCTTTGAAGAGCTATCAACATCACAAGCAAAGTCAACTCCTCATCCTTTAAAACATTATCATAAGTCTACAAATTTCCAATTCAATGTTTTATAACAAGTTACAGATTTTACAAACATCCCAGAGTAAGAATAGTTGATATTACGTGTAGTCCACCATGAAGGGACTCCCAGTGTAGCCTGCTATAGAGGCCAATGCAGCAATGTGGCCCTGATTCTTGGCCATCATACTTGGCAAAAAAGCACGTATTGTCTGGAAAACAAAAAAGTGTCAAGTTTGAAAGTCTGCATGAATCATTATATATCTATTCAATACCACTTTTAAACAAATCTTGCATTTGATATGTAACGTTATCAATGATTTTTGCTGCAATGTTCAGAATCACAAGAAAATAATACTTCAGCATCGGATATCTAAGATAACAACTATCACTGACAAAACCTTTCATAAGTTACTCTTACCCAGAAATGTGCAAGGACATTGACTTGGAAGGTCCTCTCGATCTGGTCATCTGTCAGGTCCAGCACAGAGCCCGTGATCATCACACCTGCATTGTTGAACAGGATGGTCACATCACCTACCTCTTCTTTCACCTGGGGCAGGTGTGGGATGAAGAAGATCAGTATAGATCAATGCACTAATGTCGATGCTGTCATCTAAAGATTCTCTGTAAATAGTTAGGAAATGTTATCACTATTAAGCTGAAGTGAAGAGATTGTAATTGTCATCAAAATATGATTACACGATGATTCTGCCATAATTTGCGCTGGCGACTAATTTCCAAGCAGATCCTACGGGGGCTAATGGTCACTCACTTAGAACCCCCTTTGGCCAATCGTTACGCCTTAATTACTTAACGTTACCACCGTAGGATCTGCTTGGAGCTAATTACTGTTGCTAACACCTGCACAAGATAAACATCAAGCTCCACCTGCTGTGCCACCCTCTGTATTTCCTCCCTTTTGCTACAGTCACACTGGTAGGCTCGGGCCGTGCCGCCTTCCTCGCGGACCTGCTCTGCAGTAGCTTCATTCCCGTCCCGATTGATGTCCCACAGCACCACGGTGGCGCCCAGCCGGCCGAACTCCAGAGCCAGGCACCGCCCCACCCCGTGAGCCGCCCCGGTCACCAACACCACCTCACCCCGCACACTCTTCCTTTTCTCTGGGACAAACTTTAACACAAAGGCCTCTAGGATAGTCCAGAAAATCTTGGCAAGTAAGACGAAGATATTCATGTTTAAAATCTATCAAACTTTGTAGGTCTGCACACAGAGCCAGAAAGTTTTTGACCACACGGTCACTGGCCACACAGTCCAAAGTCATCAGGCTCTGAACTCCGCTGATATTCGAATCGCTCGGTACCGAATAACTCGCTCGGTTCGGCAAGTAATCTCCAAGCAGATGTAACATTAAAACAGAAGAGCGCATTGTTTATTTTTTTTTTCTTCATCTTCTTCCGTTTTGAATGAAGATGATACGGTTTCTATTGATAAACTTCATTGGTTTGGAACTACCTTTCAAACTAAGATCAGGCATTTCTATCTTTCTATCCATCATTAACTTCATGTCATAGAAATAGTTTGGAGCGTGAACTTTGTTTTATTCCTGTAGAACGGTAAAAATATAAAAGGAATGCGACGCAAGCCTTTGGCAAAGTACCTGTGATTGTTGCTTACGCGAGGAACTTTTATACTTACTGGCTTGAACCTTTGAACGGTTACACCCCGTGACGGTTACCTCCTTTGTCAAACAATGTGTAACTTCCACCCACGAAGTGACAAAGATATTCAAATAAACCCGGCCTGCAATATCCTTTTATTTGTATTCATCACTATGCTTCTGAATAAAAAAAAGCAATAAGTATTCAACGTTAGCGTTAAAGTCAAGCCAGTCAAGTCAATGTTTTAATATTGCACAACGATTGTAGCCGAGGTAAACCTACCTGCACTAGTGTCTTAACGTTAAATGAAGGCTGTTTCAGTGTCATTTCAAAGCAATTTTTTTTTACACATGTTTACACGTGTAACAGTTACAAATATTTCCTTTCTTGCACAGTGAGAGTTGCATGACTCATATAAAGATTGACTAATTCAAATCTGTGTGTAGCATCGTGTATACTGTTTGTGCTTTTTTTTTAAAACAAACCCCGGCAGGCCTTCCTATCGACCACTATTAAAACGTAAGGCCACAGCAAGTAATCTTTATGGATGACATCAGCGCGCGCATTAATTTTCGCCTGATTTTTGGGGGAAAACAAGAAATTCTGTTGCTCTCTGTCAGTGGTCAACCGCGATGATGTCAAGACAATTAAAGGATCCGATTTCATGTTTTATATTTACTTTGATGTATTTCATTCCATCCATATGTGATGGTCGCTGTGTAACGCGCGTTACATGTGATTTTACCAATGAATCAAATCCAGTTTTTTTCAGTGAGAAATGGATGTTGTAATAGTTGACAGTTAACTTAACGTTATAAGTAACGTTATCATTTTTTGTTTAACAGGCTTTATGGTGTCAAAATTTGTAGGAATATTTTTTTTGGGCCCGTCTTGTTTTTTTCCACCTTATTGCATTAGATTTTGAGTCTGCGGATATCATCCATAAAATTTACTTGCCGCGGCCTACCGTTAGGTTTCCGAAATATTTGACAACAGACGATTCGTAGCGTTGTAAAGACTATACCATTATGGCAATAGTTTTGAAGCAACACTTTATTGATTGGATCGAACATGGAGTAACTGATGATTTTTGAATGGAAACAATACACTCTTTTGATACGATACTAGTTGCGGCATGGTTGCGGTTTTACCTAGGGACACCTCTAAAGCGCGGTCGGTATTCTAGCGGTAAATTATCCCACCCCCTGGTCATGATGGAATCACCCGCCGGTAAGATGGCGGCTGTTAGGGCGGATTCAACTACCGAAGACAAACCAGCTGCCCCTGAAAGTAAACCTGCGGCCGAATCTGTTAGACCGAAAGAACATGGGCACAGAGACAAAAGGAAGAAAACAGGTAAGCACTCTCCAGTGAGCTAGTGGGCGAAAAGACCCTCCCCGCACCGACAATTCGTTGGAGCAAGCTTAGCTAGCTACTCCTGACGATTGCGTTTTGTGTGACTGTAGGGGTGGGCGTTTGTGACTGATTGCCGATAACTCAGACTGGAATTCCTGAATTCACATTAAATCGATTTTTGTTTGAAACACAGTACACCCCGAGAATGTCAAGGACCTTGTAAGGCAACCTATTACTCCGGAATTCTCAAATTTAACTGTTGATTAGATGCCTGTCACCGTTACCCCAAATTATGTTGGCAGAACGTATGGTGACATGCTTGCTCGATTTTTGTGTGGGTGTCATGCACTGTAAACCACAAAATCCTCAACATCGTCGGAATAACAACTTCTGTAAAATATTTGAGTCATTGTCGGAATTAAGGAATCGTAGTACGGTTTACACAGTTTATGTTTGTTTTGGCCGTTTCAACAAATTCCGTAGCACAGGATGTGTGGAATGCCTGATCACCACCATGGTACCTGTCTGGCCAATCCTTGGACTATGAGTCATGATTTGATACTTGCTCGCGATTTCAACATTTCCATTGACAGTGGGTTTGAGTACCTCCATATTAGAGAGCATAAATGTGGCAAGTGTCAAAACAGCAAAGAACGGGCGCTCAATGTTTCCGTCTTTGTTTATGTCTACTGATTTAAAGGTGACAGTTTGGCCCAGGGAGAACACATCTGTTGAATGCATTGCATACCGGTCTATGGTACAAACAATTGTCAGGCTGGTACCAGGTGAAAGGGATACACCTTTATGTGATATTCGCTATTGATACCTAGCTGTACCGTTCAAACAGGCTTTTAGCTAGGATTTTTTTGTTGGGCGTCCATTTTTTGTATTGTATGCTATGCTCAGCAAAGATGCACGGTGCACAAGCTTTATAGGGGGCCTTTTTTTGAAAGTCAAAATGCTCTCAAACACTCCTTTTTGCATTTTGAGTTACAAATTTTGAGGAATTTGAGTTTTTTTCCTTCAGTAAACCATAATTTTTGTATTTATAGTAAGGCTGAAGAGAGGCATGTGTGCATGGCAGGGGTTGGGAGTGGAAAAAAACAGGGCGTCTTTAGGGTGTCCTACCAAAAAGTAGGGCGTCCAATTTCTTAGTATTTTCAGTACAGGGCGTCCAAAAGACACCCTGGACACCCCCCTAGCTAAAAGCCTGCGTTCAAACCTTTTTGTCTCGAGGGGAGTCATAGACTCATAGGTATGTGCTTCAGGAAGTTCATTCAAGAGAATTACAGCATTAACTACATGTAATAGTTATGTTGTTGCCGTTGCTGTTTGTGTTTGTACTTCAGTTTCCTTTGTTGTAAAGTCAAGTATACTCAAAGGTAGATGATGTTGGACTGCCTCCTTGAACTTCATAGGGTCTAAGATTTGGTGTAACTGTAAGACTCAGCCTTTCATTTCATTTTTTTTGAGAAGAAAAATATTCAGATCTATCATCTAACTTCTAAGGTCCTTAGAAAGCAAACCTCATCATTTGATGTTACAGTAGAAAGGATAGGTACCAAAGGTTAGATGACTACATCAATGCAATTTTGGCACTGATCTGCAAGAGTTGTGATAATGAATAAGTTTTATGCACAGTTCAGTTCATCCATTTACTAGTGGTACTAGTATTTCCAATTCACACTCACAGGCGGGTTCCTAGATGGTTTATTCTCCAACTTGTTTATGGTGACACTGCAATTTAGACAAGTAGGCTGTATAATGTTTTCTGTACAAAGCTGATGATAGGATCACTGGTCACACCAACTGCCCCAAAGACTAAATGAAAGGACATGATATGTAGCATATCCAGGCCCTCAGGCCAGAATGCCAAGGTATTTACCCCCACAGTCACCCTGTTGACCTCTTGACATATGCCATTGGGCCCCCTCCAATGTTGTTGACACCTGATAAGTAATGCAGGATTCGAGGGTATCAAAGTGACCTACTTAGTACACATTCTAAAGGTGTAACTGCACTGGCATTGGACCAGAAATGTGCAGGGTCAGACTACATAATTTAGTAGATGGATTGGTCATAATACATGTATGAAACATCTGGCTCTTGTTGTACCTGGGTGCATGGGCATTAAACCATAACCTGACATACATGTATTGTAACTAGCTATCTCTGAAGCAAAAATAAATATAGAATACCACGACCTAGGTCTCCTGCTGCTTAGTCATTTGAATTTGTGTGTTTCAGATGTAGTAGACCCTGCCTACAACTGTTGGTTCAAGACTCTACGTTCCCTAACTGCTAATAACAGCGAGTACTTTGAGCGACACAAGACTCAGTACTCCAGTCGCTTCTCATCTGCCGTGCTCGTCCTTCAGGGCCATGCAGACGCGATCCAGCCCATCCTTGAGGGCTTCATCAGAATAGCGCCCGACTTTGACGTGGACGAGAACACACCCTGCAACGGCTACCGCAGCTTGGTGAAAGTGGTGGGGACATGCATACGGCGTATCATCCACGTCCAGCGTAAGGTGGTTAACAATCGTGATGGACTCCTGTTCCAGAGCAAACACTACTGCATGGAGCTGGAGGCGTACGCCTCAGTCCTGTGCCAGCTGAGAGCCATCATGGACGTTGCACAGAAGGTGTTAGCCAAGAGTAAACATGGCCAGCTCTTCCCAGAGGAGAAACTCTTCCCAGAGTTCATGTTTGAAGAAGCTGAGTCCTTGGATAAGGAGTGTTTTTATGGGAGATGTGTTGGATTTCAGGTAAAACAATTTTTTAATGACTGTATTGCATGTATTACTAAACAGTTTGTACAATTCTTGAGTCACTTCACAACTTGTCTTCTATACTACTGTAAAATATGATAATAAACTGGCTATGATTTGAATGGCATAATTTGATTGTGCAGATACAGAGTATCCAGGATTCAGCAATTAGTATTGTTGGAGCCATTTACTTTTTGATTTGGATTATATTAATTTGTATACAACTACAGTCACATTATGTTATGGACAGTCGCCCAAGCCTGTTGTCGATTCTAATGATAGCAATGATTACTGTAAAATGGCCGTCTTTATTTTAAAGTACAAACATATAGCACATAGTTGAAACATTTGAAAATATACTCTACTGTAACTTAAGTATATTTGGAATTTGATACTCACTTTTAATAACTACAATAGGGGACATGATTAATCACGCAACTTCAACAATAAATCCAACATGATCTCACCCAGGACAAGTGTAATCCCACCACAAAATCACCAGACTTGCAATTACATGTACTCATGTAGAGAGTACAATATTATGCTTTACTGGTGTTCCACAAGCCCATACAGCATAATCAACCATCCATACCAATCAGAAGAAATACTTTGGGAGGTTTTACATTCAGCAGCACAGATACCATTAGTATGATTACTTTTGTGAGACGAGGAATATGTTGATTAGGCTGGAAAATTATCATGTTTTTCTACCTAATAGGCCGTCTCATTGACTGTTATGTCTGCAGTAGATGTTGTTGATCATCATTAATAATAATACAGAGAGTGCTTGACATAATAACTGCAGTGACACATACATGTTCTGTCACTTCTATAATTATATTGGTCACAAGCCAAAAGTCAGTATTGATCATGAGTCCTCTATACTTTTTTAAAGTACTGATCTTCTGATTATTCTATGCTAAACCAGCTTGCCTTAAACCTAATGTTGGACATCGCTAGCGCTGTTATCCAAATGTTGGTTGTAATAGTTGTTTGTTCTGTTGTATAGTTCTGCAGCTCTATGCAGCCCATCTTCCACACCATTTCCACCGCGATGGCTTCGTTTGCCGAGGCCTACAGCGACCACGACGGTCAGCTGACACGAGCGCTGGCGTCCCTCCTGAACAGCGGGAAGTACGCCATGAACCCTGAGCTGCGTGCGCGGACTATCGTCAGCATGTGTGATAAAGCAGACATCGGCTTCTGTAAGGCATTCTGGAACATCACGGAGGAGGGACCTCTGCAGGTACAAATTTAGATTCTCAGATCCTTAATCTTGTTAAGTGTCAGGAAAGGTCACCTTCCAGTGCTGCATATCTTCTTTTGCACCTTGCATAACAAGCTTGAGGCTTTTGTATTGCATTATTCATGTTCAAAATGCAATTTCCTATGGAATAGAACTACATGTAAAACAGTAGAAAGATCTGTGTAAGAAGATATCATCTATGATCTCCAAAAATAATTTTTCTAGCAAGATGACCTGCTTTAGAACTTGAGATTAGAAAAGGAAGTTTGATAACTTTGAATCCAGTAACTTTGATGTAGTAGAACACACCTGTGTTCATTTGACTTTTGAAAATTCAATATCAGCAGCAAGTATAGAGGTTATTTCTTCTGCACATGTACATGTACATGTACATGTACAAAGGTATTATACTTAAGTTTGTTCCCCTAGTCTTTTGCTTACCAATATTACTGTATTGTTCATGCATGCATGATTGTTCCCCACAGCACATGTCAGGATTTCTGAGCAGCTCAGTGAACGTGAATAAAGTGTTCCACATCCCTGCCATGCCGTTTGAGATGGAGTCCAGTCTGGAGGATGGAGAGCTGGTCACCATCACCCCGCCCTGCTCACAGACTGGACCTGGGCCAGTACAAGTCAGGCTCATATGCTTTGAGAACAGGAGGGACAGGTTAGTCTCACTGGGCACTGTCTCCTACAATCTCTAAGTACATACACATACAATATTTATACTTCATAAGACAGACAACAATGTGATGATAGATAAATTCAAAGCTTGATGTGTGGGTGCATGTATAATGGGTCATGTGGCATGTTATTATGAATCCAGGATGTGACCTAGATGGATAAAAGATTGTGGCCAGTGTTAACATCTGTGTGCCACATGTAATGTACCTTGTCTATCAAAGATAATTCAATTTAGTAAAAGTTCTGCCATAAATTGGACAGCAGTCCCAGTGTCTTGACATAAAAATGATTGACAAACTGTGTTTGTGTGAACACCAGCCAGACGATCTGGATCTGATAGAACAATTGGAGGAATACCTGGGAACAAAGAAAAAGGTGCCCATCCTACAGTAGCTTGGTGCCCCCCTCCCCCCTCTCCCCACTTAACCCATTTAGAACCTGGCATCAACCAGTGTGTGCAGTGCATGATTCCATAGTTTGGGAATGTAGAAGTACATGTAGAGGTGGATGAATTTGGTAGAAGTGAAGATGCACATGGTGTACAGAATATGGCATATTCAGATATCAGTCAGCATGTGTTGTTTTCTACTGCCTGATTATATTTGGAATGCATCTTTTCCAATCATCACACCTTAAATTACTCTGGTATTACTCTGATAAAATCAGTGACTTACTAGTCCCTTTCTGTCTATAAGGTGTGTTTTCTGGTTTGGTATATATCAAAATGTTGAGTTTTGACTAACTTTGCAGAATGTGATACAGCAGGCATTAAGGCCCCATTTCCAATAGAATAAAATTGTCTGGATCAAGTTCAATAGATTGGCGACCGGTTTCCCCCAGTGGGAACGCTCCCGATCCAGCTTGGTTCGAGATGAAGCCAGTCAGCAATGATCCACCTCGTGATGTAGATCGTAGCTGAACTGGATGGCGTCAAACTGAGCCAGATCGTGAGCATTCCTAATTGGGTTAAAAGATGACCAGATCAAAGCCAGTCGCCAATCTTTTCGGCTTGATCCGGACAATTTTATCCTAGTGGAATTGGGGCCTAAGACTTGATCTCCCCTCCCCCAGCCTGAGGATATCTCCTCCCCCATCATGGACCAGGTGGAAGAGAAGTTGGGGACTAAGAAGAAAGTTCCTGCTCCCAAGTCTGACGCTCTCATCATTCACATTCATGGAGGAGGCTTCGTAGCACAGTCATCCAAGTCACACGAGGTACATTACATTTGTACAAATATTGTTCTTGTGTCTTTCTTTGTATGTGCCATACATGAAAAATGTACAGTTTTGTCAGGGGATAGGACTTTTACACAATTCTATAATTTGAGTTGAAAAGACCATAAATTAAGATAGATTATGCTAATTATAACTTTATTTTCATAATGAATGAGACAAATTTACAAAAACTTTCATGGAGTTAAGAGGTTTCTGAACTCTTGTTGGACCTTGCTTTGCAGGCTTTGCTTTGATGACAAAGAATAAAAACATTCATTGTCCGACTGCAATAATTTCTAACCTGTGAACTGAACCCTACAGATGTACCTGCGGACCTGGGCAAAGGACATTGACGTACCCATCCTGTCTGTGGACTACTCCCTGGCACCTGCTTACCCCTTCCCTCGGGCCATGGAGGAGTGCTTCTTTGCATACGCCTGGGCACTGAAGAATGCTCATATCCTTGGTCAGTACTCTTGTGTGTGTATGTATATATATATATATATATATATATATATATATATATATATATATATATGCACCTGTCTAATTGGTTGTTTAATTGTTCGTATGTACGTACATATATGTACATACAATGCACGTACATATATGTATGTACAATGCATATATGTACATATATGCATTGTAGACATATATGTACGTGCATTGTATGTACATATATGTACGTACATACGAACAATTAAACAATCATCACTTTCATAAGTAAGAATTGCATCATGCCTATGTGTAGTATTTTTGTGAGACTGACATGTGTTCTTTATTCCCACCCCAGGCACCACAGCAGAGAGAGTGTGTCTTGCTGGGACAGTGCAGGAGGAAACCTGTGTGTCTCTGTAGCCATGAGAGCTGCTAACTACGGCATAAGGGTGGGTACTCTACTCTAGCACAAGTAAATAAAAAACTATACAGTATACATACCAGTTCTGCTGCTATATCATACTGCTCTTATCACAGGCACTTGTATTCTTCTTTGATGTTAATAGTGATGTACAAGTCCAAATCTTTTTGTTTTCTGCAGGTTCCTGATGGAGTCCTTGCTGCCTACACCCCCTTCCTGGTGCGGTACACCCCCTCCCCCTCCCGCCTCCTGTGCATGATGGACCCCCTCCTCCCCATGGGTATCCTGTCCCGCTGCATTGCTGCTTACGCTGGTCTCAAGGAGAAGAAGCCAGGAGAAGACGTTAGTTCCTCAAGTTCCACCACGAGCTCCACGCCACAGCTCAGCACCCCTGAGCACAACTTCTCCTCGGCCAGACTCGTGTTCGACCCCTCTCCCACAGAACCCAAGAGAAGTGGGGAGGGGGCAGCCGCTCCCAAACTCTTATTCACAAACACGTCGGGTGGTTTGTGTGAAGTGCATACCCCGTCACCCAGCCCCCCTAGTGGAGACGGACCAGACCAAACAGACGCTCCAGTATTAACTGTGGTAACAGAGACTGCTGTCATACAGGGCAAACAGAACCCTGAACAAACCGTAGACAATCTAAAAGAACCCCATTTTGAGGACATAGCACTGTCTCCTTACGAAGAGGACAGCGGTGACTCGGAGTGGTCACTAACAGACAAACAGACTGAAGGTGATTCCCCCAGTGGAGGTGGCATGAGTGATGAGAAGAGTCCTGAGGAAGGATCAGAACAGATGGAGAAGGACAGAGCCGCGGAGGATGACCCCAACAGGCCCTCCTCTCTGTCTCTGCCATCTCTGCCCTCCCTGGATGAGATCTCCATGGCGATATCGAAGATGACGGAGAGTAAGCCAGAGGAGGTGGTCCTGCCCTCAGAGCCGGTACACAGCCCGTCCGGGATCTCCCATGTGACCAGGTACCGCCCGTCCCCCATCCTCAACAATCCCTACATGTCCCCACTGCTGGCTGATGATGAGCTGCTGAAGGGCCTCCCACCTGTCTATCTAGTGGTGAGTTATCTGATTATTCACTGCTGGTTTCATAGAGAGAAAAGAATGACTGCTCCCAGTACTATCAGATGGAATGTTGGTCAGAAGTCAGGTATTGCACTAGTTCAACACATTTGCTGTCTTCTAGATCTTACCATTTGTAAGCACTTATGAGTTGATATGGCAAATACCCATGCATTAACGTGTGCCCCGCAGCCCTGTGCCTTGGACCCTGTACTGGATGACTCCATCATGTTTGCCCACCGTCTGAAGGCCCTGGGCATCCCGTACAAGCTCCAGGTGGTGGAGGAGCTGTCTCACGGCTTCCTCAACTTCACCTCCATCTGTAAGGAGGCACGACAGGCCAACGACCTCTGCATCAACAACCTGCTGGAGATGCTGGGCCGCAGACCACGCGGGGGGCGAGTCGCCACACCCACCAGAAAACTATAGCATACACACATGTATGACATTGTGTTCTTGGGACTGACAGGCATTGTAGGCTAGAATGTCAATGTGTGGAAGCTGCATCTAGCAGCATTTTAGCTCTAGACTGGACATTTTCTTCATTGTGAAGTACTCTCAAGTTCTGGACTAATCCAGACTGACTAATGCTAGCTTACTAGTACTTTGGTTACCAGATTATTCCATGGAAGCTGAGTTGATTGAACTTTTTACATGTATGTGGTCCCAGTTAGGGGCCCGGTCAACAGTCTGTGATGGAGAGAACTGGTGCAGACCAGTTAGCTCAGGCTGTGTGCCATACAGGTTACATTCATGTACTGCAATAGCATCCCAGACTAGAATAAGGGCCAGCCTGGAGCTTCTAAACTCTATGTTAACCTGTGTTGTGACCAAGGCATCCAACAAATAGTTAGGATGTGAATAGTGTGCATTACCATATGTCATTTGAACAAAATCTCAATGTTAATATTGCTAACTTATATATTTAAAAAGAAATTTGAAGTGATATAGTGCAGAATCAAGACATTTGAAAAGCAATATCAATGTCACAATAATCAATTTTAAATAGCAAGTCTTGTATGACCAGTCAGTTTTATTCAGTGTTACAAAAAGTTGCAGTATAAATCAAGTTAGAGAAATAAGCAAAGACTGTAAGCAAAAGCAAAGGAAACTGTACAAAACAATCAATCAGAAGTAAGGATTGAATCGGGTGTAAACATGAGGCATTTTTTAAACATGAAAACTGGAATGGCAACTTTCCCTGTGAAATGGTTGTAACTCAAGAACTGACCTGGTGATGCATCTTTACTTTTAGCTCACTGTGGTATACCTGGTAGTGGTTTTCAGGCCAGATTCTGTATTGTGAGCTTTGTAGGTCGATCCCTGTCCTGTCTGTCTTTCATCATAATGCATACTTCCTTCAGTCTTGTGGAAAACATGTTGTTAGCTGCTGTTCCCATTTAATTATTTCCACACAGCTTTTAGATTAGGCAAACATAACTATTCAGTGTACAAATGCTTGCAATGTTATCAAATGGCCACAGTAAGAAGTACATGTACATATACAAATGCATGACGTGGTGTTAATGACATAGCAGTTTGTGACAGTACTTGAGTTTTTATGTTTTTTTGTGTGTGTTGAACAGTGAAAAAGATGAGTGTATAGCCATACTAGTGAAGGGCTCGATAACTATATTTTTTGCTGTGATATGCAAAGGAATTGTGATGAAACTACATGTAATAGTTATTTATTGCCTTCCGTAACTGTTATTGTTGACTGAACATTGCATCACTTCAAAGAAAAGTCATACATGCACTTGTAACTCAAGCAAAGATACTAAGTATTTACATGAAGTACTAAAGTATTTTCCTTAAAAGGGTTCAGAAACTATAACAGTTTATTAAGACTAAACAGTTAAGACTTAGTACATAAAAACAGTGCAATATGATAGTTTATGAATTTACAAAGTTCTAGCAGGGATTTTAGGATTCTACTGCAATGTATATGTATAAATGTTGCAGAGCAAAAGCTGTTTTGTGTGGAAATGACGCAGAGTTCTAGAGGCAGTGTTACAAACAAGATAGAATATATAGATGCTTTGTTAGTTGACATGAACTTTTCTGTCATACGTGTGTTGTGCAAAATTTCCCTTGTGGATCAGCCCTAAATATGAGTTTGGGCAGTTCCCATACTCAAAGAAACATGTCAGTTGTGTGGAATGATTACATTTTGAGTCCATTAGTGTACCTACATGTACATACATATATGTATATATTTAAACAGGTGGAAAGACTTGTCAAACATTGTAGATTGCCAGTCATCTTTTCTTATGATCATGAGAGCTTCAGTCTGAAGGATGGAAGTAGTAATTATGGAAAAAAGAAGTGGTGTTTGTGAGGAATTAGAATATCCCTCCAGCCAATAGAACTTTCCCTGACACAGCTGTGCTGAATTGAATCTGTACAGTGACTAGACAAGGGAATATCTCCCCCTAGTGGTGTCTGTTCAAATTGCAGGATTACAGCTGACTGTTTCACAATTCTCACTTCTCTTGTGTCATGGTTTTATTTATTCTCAAGAGGTGCTGTGATAGTCAGCATAAACCCATACTGGTATTTTGCCATTCATCTCTTACTCATTTAGCCATTTACTCCAATGTCTACCTTTTGTTTCAACATGCATACATGTTCCTGTGTAATTTAAACATGTATAGGTGAATCAATATACATTTGTACATACCTCTTTAGTGTACATGACTATTTATGAAAAAAAATTTAATATCTCTTTTGGTACCAGTATGTTTTACCTTGTTTGTTGTGCTGGCATTCCACACTTAAAAACTGTTCACAACATGATTTTGAACTGCTATGTTTGATAGGATAAATACTTAATCACAGTTATTGGATTAATGTAATTTTTCAATATTATAATAAGTATAATAATTTTACTTACAGGTTTTGCATTGTACAGTTTGCTAGCCCCACCCTTGTTGCTTTGCATGTTTTAAACATTAATATATATGGGTTGTTATATGTATACTTTCCAGCTTGTTTGCTTTACCATTTTGTTGAAAAACCATCAGATTTGTGTTTGATGTAACTACCACATTATTAAAAGCTTTGCCACTATTATTTATTTTTTGTAGCTTTTAGGTAACCGGGAACTGAGTGTTACAATAAGCAATACATGTATTATGTTTGACCTAAGTTATGTTTTGTTATATCTAGATGGTAACTGATAATTATTACAAACAGCATGCTTAGGTTCTGCTGTTACCAGTAGCCCATACTGATGTCAATATATGTACATTTTGTACATGTTTAATGTCAAAAACCCTGAATTGGTTTCAGGCAGGTAAACCATCAAGGATTCCTACAGGGGAGGGAAATACTCATCTATTAGACAAACAAAAGTTTTTAAAGTTTCTATCTCTTTATTTACTTTTTAATCCAGTTTTAGTTACATATAAAGTATTTAGTTATAGCATACCTCTCTTTGTACAGCTCTATTTTTAATCAAATACATCATCTTGATAACTTTCTTTTGGTATGACAGCAATGCCTTTTAGACATTTCATTCTCAAACCCAACACATCGTTAAGACAGGTATGCAAATACTAATTCCATTTGTAGGGGAGAGGCTGGGGTCCAGCAGTAGTTAATGTATAGTGATATAAACTGATAGGGTGATACAAGCCACTGACAGCAAAAAAAAACATAAACACATTAGTGACAAATCAAACTAATCCCACAGACCCTACACAGCAGAAACAACACCAGTAAGTAACAACACTACAGTAATATGACGACTTGATTAGTGAATACATTCTTGTACTAGGTTACAGAATTCTAATCTGGAACATAATTTTGAAAACATTGCAGTCACAATATATGTCCAGAAATTTTAAAAAAAGACATACAGTGTTTAGTATACAGGTGTCAGAAAGTAAAACAGCAGAATCTTCCATTTCTATCACCAGGATGGCAAAATCCATACTGGATTGAAACTTGAAAGATAACTTTAAACAGGTTTAATTTTAAAATGATGTCTATGTCAGAGCTGAAAGTCTTCTTGAGTGATAAAACAATATACCTAGCAGTACAACATTACAGATTGCACAAGTACAATGTAGTAACATACTGTACTTACTAGCATTCAGACACAAACACATATTATGCACAGTATTAAACATGTCTGCATACACAATGAATCATTCAACATACGGTTATAATACCGTAAAGAATTATACATTCATCAAATTCAATCGAAAGTGTGCTAACTCTAGTTTAATAAGGTAAGGTATGCTGACCTAATGATAACCCCATATGTTATTATTACATGTATATTATATATAGACCATTCAAGATTACTTCTGTTGCCTGGAACACAGTTTTATGCAGAATTCATATCCACAATATACAACTCATTTAATAGTTTAAAGAGCAGTGAACAAAACCATGAAACAAAAAGACAAATGCCATGTCCTTTCAATTATTATTCATTAGCTTTATGATATCGTAAATATCTTCTACATGTATGCTGCAAAAAGGCAATGTAAACTAAAATATGATTATTACACATACAGTTAAGGGTGATAATATTATAATTTTGAATAAATAAAACAATGAGTAAACCACGGAAAAATGTGGTTACCTCAACATATAAACTTGACAGAAACATCCTTCTGAAAACATGACAGTGAAAATCATACTTAGACATTTGTTCTGATTTTTTGTAGTCTCGATCATTCACTCTACAGTATTGCAAGTATACACTTCACATGGCTTTCATAATTGATTCTTAAATGACTTATGATTGCATGACACAAAATATAAAGACAACGTTTTGAGAATCAAAAAAGTACAGAACATACAAATGTTTAAGTACAAATCACCATACCTACTTGTTACCAAGGACATTGTCCTTGTTGTTACTAAAAATGAGCAAAGATCCAAGTTGTTACAATTTTGCTCACATCTAAATAACAATGTTCACATAAGTCCTCATACATGTCAATTAAGATCCCATCAACTCAAAAGGAAAACCGTGCTTTCACCCAACATAAACACTTGGTTACAACAAACTTGAGCATTATGATTCCATGTAAAATCATGCACTCATTTCAGAAAATGAGAAAAATCCCCAAGAACACTTCATTTTTTAAATATTTTTGTCATACTAAGTCATTTCAAAAAGTTGGCAGTAGGCCTCATCTACCAGTCTGATAGATGATACCCAAGTCTTTATATACTACTATAAAAACTTCTCACTAAAAGTCACATGCCACTCAAGTTACACACAACCATACTTTCAATAGCAGAGAGTATTGTTTGCTTCTAAGATTATCCCATGACTGTAATGCATCATTTCAGATAGGCTCTTTCAAACCCACATAAAATGAATGAATGAATACATAAAAGAATGAATGGCTTGTATGAAATTTGCAGCCAGAACCTTAAAACAATGCCAACATCACTTTTATTACTTTGTTGGACTTATGACAAGGTCCTTTACATGTACATTTACCCCCAAACATCAGCACAAGAAATACTCTCTGTTATTGACTGTATTCCTGGTCTACCGCCACGAACACACTCCCTGACTGACCGCCACGAATCTGGCCATTTCCTTCTCGAAGGACGACACTCCACAGTTCCGCTTGCAAAGTACAAGCAGCATCTGCCTGCAGATCTACTGACTTGCATCAACGTTGTTACAGAAAAGATTCTTTACACCCAGTTACCGTTTTAAACCATTCAAGTCAGGTTCATACATGTACATATCAATTCTCATTCAATGTCACTAGCTCCTGCAAACTCAGCAGCACCATGGATATTATTAGGGACAGTGTTTTTTCTTCATTGCTTTCAAGTTCAAAATTTGCTAAATGCAAACCAGCTTACTCGTACCCCTTTCCCAGCCATTGGGCTACATGTAACAGTACCAATTTGTTAATAACAATCAATCCCTTCTGTACAATGTGTATTTTGAACTACCTCCCAATATAATCTACTAGAATTTTGGGGTATCCATAAATATGTTATTTGCAAAGTTCATTAAGCTTATATATAGGATATCTAATGGTGTCCTGTTAATCTGTCTTTCTAATCAATGATTTCTCAAGCAGGCAGCGCCCCCTATCATGTGTCTACAGAATTGCACCACAATTGATTTTTCTTTCCAAATTCCTGTCTGTGTGAGTGAGTTAGTAAGTTATTGTGCATCTCCTGATGCTGAGCTGGAGCTGTCCTGCTGGTACTCCCAGGCTGCCGTACAGATCATCTTCAGTTCCTCCACCAGTGTCTCGTACCGGTAAGCCAGGCGGATGGACGGCACGTTGGTACACTTGATGTCGTTTCCTGCCGGCCCCTCCTGTCTGTAATTGTCTCCTAACCAATGCTGCTTGGCCTGGAGTAATGACATTACACCTGTATTACACTATACTGACACAAGATGGTACCAAAAACATGTTCAAGTCAACACAAAAAAAGAAAGCATGGTAGACATTTCCATCACATGTATTACACAGCCAAAGGGAAATTCAAGAGATAGGTAAGGGACTACAGAAACAGTGACAGCCCCAAAGAAATGTTATGAAATTGTAAATTTTTGTGCAAAATGGTTATCAAGGTGGTCACAACTTCAGCTAGAATTTGGTGATCAATGAAAATAATGGGTGACAAAATTGTGTACATCATCTCATTTTTCTTTTTCAACCTAACCTGTACCAGTATTTTTCTCTAGAGCTTCACCACAAGTTAAACTACTATAGACTGCTGAAATCTCTTTCGGTTTCTTACAACTGAAGGAGGGGGGAAGGGAGGTTGGGGATGGGGACATCATTTCAGATTCTTCTCTCACCGAAATCTGCTGATTTTCTCCCGTGGCACTCCTTTTTTGATACTGTCCCATGGATTATGGTGAGCAGTTTGGAGAAGAGACAACCCAGAGTTAGAGGCAAAAGAAAGACACAGGAAAGTGCAGAGAAGAATGTGACAATGTGAGGCGAGAGTTTCTTACCTTGTGGTCGAAGCCGCTCATCAGGACAGATGACCTGGCCAGCTCACACATGTCACAGGTGCTGAACTTCCACACCTGCGCAGCAATGCTGTACTCCTCCATTAGAGCTTCCTGGAGAAAAGGAGTCAAGTCAACACTCAGTACAAATGTACTCAACATTGATTACAAAATTCATCTCCTCAGAAGGCAAAGTGATGGTCCGTCCCACCTTTGTGAAGTGGAACTGCAGGGGGTCATCAGTAGACAGGGAGATGACCAGGCCCCTGGCGTTGATAGTCCGGCAGTGGGTTGCGGTGATAGTCCAGGGACAGGTGGTTGTTACTGAGTGGTGACATGGCAATGCCGATCTGGGCCAGATAGTACAGGTACTGTAGGACTGGAACCTGCAATCAAACAACAGTGTGGTGTGAGCATATGGCAATATTTTCCATTTCTTCATGTGTGCCAGAAATGTTTCAAAAGTTGTCACATTATTGTCACCATCATACTTAATTCTTTTTTCTATTACAATTCGCTTGGAAATGTCTATGATTGCCAACTATGCAAGTGCATGAGATAATCTGAGGTTCCATCAATACTGCCACACACCTTTCTGAGCAGCAGGCCATGTGAGATGTTCTCTGCCACCATGAAGGCAGACACCAGATGATGCACAGGCCCCGCCTCTCCACAATGTGGCCGCAGCACAAATATGTTCATACCCCGCTCCCTAGGCACAACACAAAAGGAACATGGTTGCGATCAAATTCTCACCACTGTTTCTTGCTATAAAATTTTCAGACCTTCTTTTTTTTTACTCTAGACTTGTACTATAAGTTTTTCCTTTCAGCTTTTAAATAATTACGAATGAAAAGGATTCTCAAACACTTGTGAAAGTGATCTCGATCCAGTTTTAGCAAACTGAACAGCTAATCTCCTACTGGTTGTGACAAAGAAGGCAGACACTATGTACAGTATTTACAGGTTCATTGTACCAGGGAAATTCCCCTAGCTCATTTTCGACAAGCACAATGAACAGTGGACCACAGTTAAACGTCCCATCCTAGGGACTGCAACCCTTTCCAGTAGCGTGCATGTCAGGTGAGCGACAACAGCCAGGATTCAAACTCCCAACCTCTTGGTCCAGCTAGAGGCAGGGTCGCTAATCACTGGACTAGACATGCTACTACTGACAGGAGAGAGAAAAGAGAATGTTACCTCCGTAGGTGGTTGAGGATGACCATGTTGGCGTACATGTAGTAGAGGTAGTAAGAATACGGCGGGTTCTCCTCATCAGTCCACTCTGCAGGCAGGGGACTGTCCATGGTGAACATGTGTCTCTCTGGCTTGGACTCATCATCTACACTGTCAAACCCTGTCACCTGTACAAGTACAGCATTCAGAATATCATTCCTGAGCTACAGGTACACTTTCTATGCACCGCATAGCATTAGCAAGACACAAAAGTATCTTTAATAACTTCAAGCCAGCATCTCAAGATATCAGTAACATACAAAGAGAAATACATGCTTCTGAATCAGAACTTCAGAAATTATGTACACACAATGGAGAGCTGAATTGTGTATAAAACTCACATATTTCAGGAAGGCGTGAAGTTCTGGGTGGCTCTGTGGGTTGACAGTGGCTTCGATCAGCGGCATGTAGATGTTCTGTAGTACCTCCTCGAAGTTACTGAGGGTGCCCTTACTCCTGTACACATCACTGAGGACAGACATAGAGAACAGCAGTGAAAAGTCATGGAAAATAAAGCTATAGAAAATGTACACACAACAACGTAAGACTGACAGTCATCAACACAAAAACCTTAAATCCATGCCTCTTGCATGCAATGGACTCTCCAACATGCCCTCCACAAAACAGTAACATCACCAAATACATCTGTAAGCAATAAAGTATAAAAATTATAAAGCTCACAAAGGTAAGTGTTAGTAGGGCAGAATATACCACAGCTTTACAACACAAATCTAGCACTCTGTTATGGTGTATAATGAAGCAGAAGTGTATCACTGGTACTTTCTTCTAAGATCTTAAAAAGAAAACAAACAGCTAAATCATCTACTTTTCATCTTAGATGAGTGTTTTCTTATTGTGTAATATCAAATGACCTGAGCAACAACTGCAATGTTTTTTAAGTATCCTGTGCCAAAGAAAAGCCTTGCCTCCCACTCTTATGTACTTACTAGAGCCGCGGGATCTGGATGAGCCAGCGAACGTTGTCGGAGTAGACGTTGTGCTTGACCGCCCATTTTGCCAGCTTGTCCCACTCGTCCATGGACCGGCCGTAGATGGACAGACGCAGCTCAGCAAACTGGTACTTACTCTCCTCCAGGTCCTCCATTACTTCCTGATGGGAATAATTATAATTCAGTTGAACTTTTACACAAGAGGGTAGGAAAACTGCACCCATGTAATGCTTAAGTCGATTCATAACGTTCCCTGACCAGTTTATGAATCCAACTATCAAACATGAAATTGGAGATTTTGTGAGTTCATTGGCACAACTAGAGATGGTCTGAGGTACTTGCAATATTACTATTATTATTATTAGCAGGAACATTGCAGACTGAGAGCTTGTTCTAACACAGCCTCCTAAGTTACTTCAGGCTTAAGTGGTATACCCCAGTAACTGTGGATTCTCTTCCTCCCAGACTGCCAACTTGATGTTAAGGTCAATCTGTGGTAACCAAATAAAGGGGTAAAATATCAAACCCCTGTAAATGCATCCATTACAAACAATAA